ATGTATGTTATATATATGTCATATGTATGTTATATATATGTTATAAGTATCAGCTAGTTTCTGCAGTCCCTGTGACTACAGACCATAATTACAGACTGAACATTTTACCAGATGAAGGAGTAAAGCAAGTTCTGTCAGTGTTCTCTGCTGCTGTTGGATCTGAATAAAGTCCAGCTAACTTCCTGTTTCTGCTTCTCCTCAGAGCTCCAAACGTCCAAACCAACAGGTGAAAGTGAGTCCTCCTCTTATCATAGAAACTGTGGGCATCATGTTCAGCCCATTATTGTTCTTATTAGATGTTGTTACTGTTAGCTCTGTAAAACCTCTAAGGTCTGTCCAGCTGGGTGTCCCACCTGAAGACATGACTGCTGCTGTAGCTCTGAGAGTCATTGACACAGAGACACATGGACATGTCTCAGTTCATCACAGGGACAGTTGGACATGTCTCAGTTCATCACAGGGACAGTTGGACATGTCTCAGTTCATCACAGGGACACATGGACATGTCTCAGTCCATCACAGGGACAGTTGGACGTGTGTTTTAGCCTCTGTTAGCTTATCATGATCCTGCAGCAGAAGTGCTACAGCTAGCTGCTACTGCTCTGTGTAACAGCAGAAGACAGAATAACTGTAGTTGTTAGAACTGCCCACGGGGACTAGCCGTTAGCTCCTCAGTCCTGTCATGTCTTGTGTTTATCTTTTCAGAGGACGTTGGGTTCAAACTGGAGGACGCTCTCCGTCCAGGTGAGACTCAGATTCTGGATTAAAGCTCTGACTCAGACCTAAAATGATTTTTCACCTGCAGAAGATAAATCTGCTCTGAGCACAGAGTTATTGAGCTCAGTGTTTATCAGAGGTTGTTCTGGGCCAACATCGCCTCCATGTGGACATTTAGAGCATTAAAGTTAACCTGGTGTGTTTCCCTGCTTCATTATAACAAACTTCCTTTTAGCACAATATCTCTGGAGCCACTGGATGGATTTTAATGATATTTTCAGGATTTGATATTCTGATGTTTATCTACATCTGTTTAACTTTTGGAGTTCAAGATGGCCGTCACAGCTAAATGACTTAGGAAACAAAATACCTACACTTAGTTAGCTTTACAAATTCTGAGCTAATGTTTGATGTGGTAGTAGCTGAGAGTGATCCTCAGCATGCTTTATTCATTCATATTGTTCAGTAATCTGTGAGCAGTTTAATCTAGATTAAATTATTTTATTAATTAGTCAGATATTTTATGTTCTTTCTGCTCAGCGGTGAAACCCACTGATCAACCAGGAGGGGGAGCAGGTGAGTCTGCAGACAACACTCACATAATCCTGACTTCTAATTATCCATTCATCTGGACCTTACAGTGAGCGCTGAATGAGTGCAGAAAGAGTGCCGAACGAGTGCCGAACGAGTGCAGAACGAGTGCTGAACGAGTGCGGAATGAAGGCCGAACGAGTGCCAAACGAGTGCAGAACGAGTGCAGAACGAGTGCAGAATGAAGGCCGAACGAGTGCCAAACGAGTGCAGAACGAGTGCCGAAAGAGTGC